AATAACATTAAATTTTCCAATAAGCAATAAAGAAGTTGATATATAAATTAAGCACAACTGGCATGATGAATTTTATTTAGTTTGAAACATAATTAAATCATATTTTGACCTATCAGATCTCATCCAAATTAATAATCAAATTAATTCAGCTGACTTATATACTTTTTAGAAATATTTAAATAGGGTATATTGAATGTAGGAAAATGAATTATGAATAAAAGGTAAAGGTAACGGTAATTTGAACATTTATCTTGTAATTTTTAATATGAAATTCATTATTTAATTGTCTATCATTTTAAGGTTATTATTGAGTAATATATTTGACTAATTAATCTACCTCAGCAAAGCCTAGAAGAGATGAATAATATTTAGTTGAGTGAACATGAAATTTTTTATAGGTTTTATAGTTTTTAAAAAAAATATCATACATTGTAAAAAAATTATTTAATAGAATTCCAATTTATTAATATAAGGGTGCATTTGGATATAAAAATAGATATTAAATATTAAAATATGATTTAGTAGTGTAATTTAAAGTTAAAATGTTAAAAAGATGATCATTAAGATGAGATAGACACAGTTTGTTACAATTAGTTTTGTTAAGAATTCAGATTAAATTGCTTTAAATGTATGAAGAAGGAAAGAATCCATAATGATCATTTTAATGATGTTGAAAAAATTAACAGCTTGATTCAATTCATTGATTAGAAAAATTAAGAATGTGATAAATTAATTGATGATCTTAATAAATTAGAATAAATTATGAATCAATCATTTTCTTAATTAAAAAGAGGAATCATATAAAAATATTAATTAAATAAGGAGAGATTAGTATAATTGAATTCTTAATAAATTAATGATTATTTGAATTCAACTATCTAATTTAAATAATATTAATAATCACTCACAAAAATCATTTAAGAATAGACTAATAAATTAAATCACTCATTTAATAATTTATATGAATAATTAAAATTATCATAATTTAATTATTATTAGATTGATAATAATCCTATATAATAATCTAAAAAATTATATGATAAAGGTATTCATCTTATTATAATTATTAGGTTATAAATTATTTTTGGAATATAAATACGATGAAGCCATAGAAGTACTAGATAAATCTATATAATAAGATCCTAATAATCATCAATCATTATGGTGTAAAGGTTAAATAATAATTTAATAAATAGGTTCATGCTTAAGATTATTAACTAAATATGAGAATGCAATCACTTGGTATGACAAAGCATTAGCTATTGATTCGAACCATGTTTTATCTTTAT